CAAGAAGCAACCAGTGAATGCATAAATAAGTGGAACAATAAATCAATGCCTGTTTCTCTCTCTTTCCCTCCCTCCCTCCTTCCTTTCCTCACTCTCCTTCTTCTTCTCTCTCTAAAAATCAATAAAAATTAATAAATAAATCTTTATCCTTTTGGAGTTCACATTCTGGGGAGGAAGGGCGGAGGTGCCACGGTATGGCCGCAGCTGGGTCCTGGGGTTCCTGAAAGGTGGGTAGGGTGTCGGCTATGGGAGACAGATGACAACACACTTCAGGGGACGGTGATGCTCTGTTCTGTTCATTGCAAGTACAAGCAGGTTTTTATACTTTCATTTTTAGCAGTGATTAATATTGCGGTTAGGTAAAGCAGAAAAAAATTAATACAAAGGTAACCAGGAATTTGTATGAAAGTTTCCATGGATTTAGTTATATTAAACAAAGATTGTTTTGACCAGGAGAGCCATAAATCAGACAATTAGAAATAGCTATATGTACAGAGTTTGACCATTTTATTGTTTATTAAAGTTCTCAGAATTTGTCATCTGACTCCCTGGTAACTGTTTCTACGTGCTTAGTTTGTAATAGTTAACTAGCTTTTCTTATTTCTTTGCCTGTCTAATTTTATTTGATATATATTCCTATTCAAGGTAAAGGAGGGGCTGTTACTCCAACAACTTTTAGACATTCAGGGGCTATTTCATTAGAGGGGATTTTGTTTTCTGGTCAAGAAATTATTTTGTACAACTTCACTGGAATTATGCAAATCAATAAATCTGAAATACAGGTGTCTAACAATCCCACCACCTTTTGATCACCAAAACAAACATGTAAGGAGAAACAGTCAGGAAATCCAGCCACAGTAAACCGTTTTTGTTCCTTAGTTAATAAACACCAGGGAGGTCTGCTTCGAGCTAGCCTTTCCATGAAATTTAGACTATTACAAGGCACTTGGACTCCATCCTTATTGACCATTTAATGCCATGCTCATTATATGCCCCTGTATAAGGCAATGGGGGATCTGGAACCCTCTGGAGACTATTAGTTCCTCTTGGGGGATACCATAATTTGCCATTAATCCAATATGCTCCCCAGGGGTATCCCTGGGCTGTGGGTAGGGGTCTATATGTTTTTTTCTTGTTTTCCAGAAAGACTCTTTGTATCTATGGGTAAGGAACAGGCATGGGAAAGTCTGCCAATAATTCAGCCTGTTGTAACTGATTCATGAATTCTTTTATGGGAACAATCGGGGATAATTTCTTATTCAGGTTTATAAACACCTTGTTTTTAAACAATTTGGGCAGGATTCAATAGTCTGGGGAGAACTAGTTGTCCCTTCAGAATTTCCCTCAGAGTTAATCGTTGACTCACTTCGAGCCTTTTTCTCCTCATGGCCTGTTCTTATGGGAATCAGGGTACAAAGTAAGACCATGATCAATATTAGCAAGGAAATTATTAAGAGCAATCCTCAGAAAAATTACCGCCCCCCTTTGTATGCCACGCTCTCTTCCAGGAAGATGGATTCCTTGAATTCCCTCTTTCCACGTTCGGACCTTGTCAGACAACATGGTTGGAACAGGGCGTGGCATGGAGGGAAACCATACAGTAACAAAGGTAAACACTTAAGAGATAACAATATGCTGGGAGATGAAATGTGCTAAGGGGAAAGGAGAAGGCATGGAAGGGGACCAGGAGGTATCAGGCCCTCTGTAATTGGAGATCAGTGGTCAGGGAAAAATCTTCTGTGAGTAAAGACCAGAAGGAAGTGAAGGAGTAAGTCATGTGATATTTGGAATAAGAGAGTCCAAAAACAAGGAGACAGTAAGTGCAAGCTCCCAAGGTAGACACCAACAGGCACATTATGACAGCAAGGAAGCTAGTGTGGCTGGAGCAGGGAGAGGATGGAGTGTGGAAAGAAATGGTTCTGAGAGGCAGTGGCAATGGGGGCAGACACTGTAGCTTTCTAAGCTGGGTTTTTACTCTGAACAAGAGGGAAGTCAGAAAGTTTTGAGCAGAGAGAGATATTTGTCCTACATTTTAACATGACTCTTCCAGCTGCTGTGTTGCAGATGGGTTGAAGGGAGAGCAAGGGCAATACAGGGAGCCAACCAGAAGTTCATTCCAATAACCCAGGCAAAAGATGGATGATGGCTTGGATCCGGGGCAGGAAGCAGTGGACCAGGGACAAGGGCCTGCTTACGCAAATGGACAAAACTGTGGGAACAAAGATGTTCAAAGCAATATTGTTTGTAATTGAGAGAAACTAGAAATAACCTAAATGTCCATTTAGAGAAGGAAGGTTAAATAAATTATGGTACTTCTTTTTAACTTCTGTAGTGATTGAAAACATGTATTATTTTTTATAGTAAAAATCTTAAAGAACCCAAAGATTCCACCAAGAAACTACTAGACCTGATACATGAATTCAGCAAAAGAGGAGGATACAAAATTAATATCTAGAAATCACTTGTATTTTTATATGCCAATAATGAGGTAACAGATATGGAAGTTAAGACAGTGATCCCATTCACAATTGTTTCAAAAGGAAGAAAACACCTAGGAATAAACCTAACTAAGGATGTAAAAGACCCGTACACAGAAAATTATAAGACACTGAAGAAAGAAATTGAAGAAGATACATTAAGTGGAAGCACATACTGTGTTCATGGATAGGAAAAACTAACATCATTAAAATGTCCATAGTACTCAAGGCAATCTATAGCTTCATTGCAATTCCTGTCAAGATTTCAATGACATATTTCACAGAACCAGATACTTCAAAATACTTCAAAAATTTATATGGAACCACAAAAGGATTTGCATAGCAACAGTGATCCTGAGAAAGAACAAAGTTCATGCTACCTAATATCAAACTGTACTATAAAGCCATAGTAACTAAAACAGCCTGGTATTGGCATAAAAACAGACACATAATCAATGGAACAGAACAGAGAGCCCAGAAATAAACCCACACCTTTATAGACAATTAATATTCAACAGAGGAAGCAAGCACACAATAGGCTAAAGATAGTTTATTCAATAAATGGTGTTAGGAAAACTGGACAGATACATGCAGACAAATGAAACCATCTTCTTACACCACATACAAGAATAAATTAAAAATGGGTCAAAGACTTAAATGTTAGACCCCAAACCATAAAAATCCCAGGATAAAACATAGGCAGCAAAATCTTGGACATTGCTTGTAGCAATTTTTTATTGGAAACAAGGGAAACAAACGAAAAAATAAGTGGAACTACATCAAACTAAAAAGTTTTTGCACAGCGAAGGAAATCATCAACAAAATAAAAGTAAAACCCACAGAATGGGAGAACATATTCACTGATTCTTCTGATAACGGTTTAATATTCAAAATTCATAAAGAAACTACAAAACACAACACCAAAAATACAAACAACCCAATTTAAAAATGGGCAAAGGACCTGAATAGACATTGCACCAAAAAGGAGATACAGATGGCCAATAGACATATGAAAAGATACTCAGCATCACTAATCATCAGAGACATGCAAATTAAAACCACAATGAGATACCATTTCACACATGTCAGAATGACTATCATCAATTAATCAACAAACAACAAGTACTGGCAAGGGTGAGGAGAAAGTGGAACCCTTTTGCACTGTTGGTGGGAATGCAGACTGGTGCAGCCACTGTGGAAAGCAGAATGGAAACACTTCAAAAAATCAAAAATGGATCTGCCTTTTGACTCCGCAATCCTGCTTCTGAGAATATATCCAAAGGAACTCAAACCACTAATTTGAAAAAACATAAGCACCCCTATGTTCATTGTGGCATTATTTACAATCACCAAGATATGGAAGCAGCCCAAGTGTCCATTAGTAGATGAATGGATAAAACAACCATGGGGCATTTATGCAATGGAATACTACTCAGCCATAAAAAAGAAGAAAAATTTCCCCTTTGCAACAGAATGGATGAACCTGGAGAATATCTTTGCTAAGTGAAATAAGCCAGTTAGAGAAAGACAGGTACCATATGATTTCACTCATATGTGGAATCTAATGAACAAAATGAACTAACAAGGAAAATGGGGACAGACTCATAAATGGAGAACAGGATGATGTCTGGGGGGTGGTAAGGGGGTGGAGGGATTTAGCAAAAAGGAAAAGGGAGTCAAGGGCATGGACAACAGTGTGGTGATTGCCTGAGGAAGGGGCTGTATAAGAGGACTAAGTGGTAATGGAAAAAAAATACACTAAAGATTCAATTTTAAAAATCTAAGTAAATAACATTAAATTTTAATGCCACACAATTTCAGCATAGAGGGATATGTTTTAGTTTAAACAGAAGCATGTTTATGGACCATGAAGACATCTCGTTTGGTTAACAATACAAACCTAGAAGCATTAAAATTAGAGTTTCTTATTTAAATAGAATCGAACAGAAATATGCCCCTGTACCTGTTAAACTGGTTTGTCAGTAATTCATGACTGGTCACCCCAAAGCATTTTTTGGTAGAGCAGATATAATCTAGGAATGAGGAAACAAGACGGCAGGCGAGTGGTGGTTTTTAGTGAAACTTTAAGAGTGACTTAGATGCTGTTACAAAGCATCTAAGATCTGAAGAGGGAGAAAGATTTGTCTAAGGGGTGGAAGTGGGAAGTGGATGTGTGGTTCTGAATCCGCATATTGGCCAGGTATCCATTTGGTGGAGGCCATAAATGGTTAGATGAGAATTATCTCCATGATCATTTATCCATCACTCTCCATACGGCAGGCACTGTGTCTTGTGTTTTTATGACAACTTTTAAATTTTACAATACAGCGTCTAATTTCACTAATTTCCCTAAGGTCATTACCTTAAAAATTGTGTGAGCCTGCATTTAATAAAAGCTAAGACTGAGCAACACCTTTCGCCTCATTCCTTACCACTTCCCAGTACAGACTGGGCCGAGCGAACTACTTCCTCCCAGCCCGAGGCACGAGCCTCGTCCAGAGGTCGGGCCCACAGGGCTCCTATTGAGGGTGCTTCCCGACACTGCTGCCAGCTCCGATCCCCGTTCCTCTCCCGCGGTCTGCGGGGATGCTTTCGTGGGTTCTCGCCGCCCCGCCGGCAGGCGGCGCCCTCCGGCAGATCTCCCGCCGGGGTCCTGACGGGGAGTGCGCGCTCTTACACTCGCAGAGCCCCTGCCCGCACTTCCTGGTCGGAGGGGGCAGAGCCGCAGCCAGGGTCGCCTATGCCAGCCCGACTCCCGCCCCTCCCTCGGCGGTCACCTGGGGCGGAGCGCTGCAGGTGCCGGGGCGGTGGACTCCTCTGGTGTCTAGTCCGGCACCCCGCGCCAGGGACGCGGAAGCCTCGGGTGAGTGTGGAGAGCCGGTACCGTCTGCTTCCCGGACAGGGGTGAGGGTGGTCGCTGGCACCCGCGCGCTTGCTGCTTCCCAGATGGGCGCTGGCAGGCCGGGAGACAAATTTCCCTTCCAGGGATTCAGAGGCTGGGTTTCTCTGCGACTTGAGAGGTCTCGGTGTGGGGCGGGGCCCGCGGTAGAAAGCTACCGGTGTCCAAGCCTGACCGAGTCGGCTTGGGATTTTCGCTAGCCTGGGCGCCTGGCGCTGTAGTGCGTTTGGGGGACCCGGGAAACCGCTAATAAACTTGGTGGCCTGGGCTAGACGTATATTCGCATCCTGGTCCCAAGGGAGATAGCTTTGAAACATTATACAAACAGGTGAGGTTATAGAAGTAGGTTTATGTAATTTTTACTCTCCTTCCTGGCACACCGATGGGTGGGGTGTCGTCGTCAGTTCCGTACACACGCCCACGTGTGTGTTTTGGAGCGAACTTTGTACCTTTCTCCGGGCCTTTGGGAATTGGGGGCGGAGCTTCCGCGCGCTCCGGGCTACGATATTAAATCCCCAGGGCTTTGCAGGGCTGTTAATCTTTGGAGATCTTGGCGCCGCCGTTTGTTCTTCGAACAACCTGGACAGGTTCAAAATTCTGTTTGGGTAACCTGGGATCTCCCTCCGGAAGTTGTTGGCTGAAGCTCTTTTTCTCACCTGGCCAGGTGGCCTTGGTAGGTGGCGGCAGGACCCACCCTCCGGCATTCCAGAGGCGACCCTGAGGACCCGGCCTGCACAGGAAAGGTCCATTTGGGAGGAAATGCACTCTCTTCGCCCTACCCTGTGCAAATTACTCGGGTACCGGGCAAAGGTTGTTGCTGAAATCCCAGAAAAAAACCCACACAGGTCAGAATCGCAAAGGACGGTGAATGAGTGTTTGACCCTCAGTTGCTAATTGCTTCAGATCAAACCATTTCGCTCGTGCTTTTCCAGATTTTTTTAAAAAACTTCTTTAATTATAAAAATGGCTGATACAGAGGTTATTAAGAGTTGCCAGTGGGGATGAGCCTGGGTCTATGAAAATCAAAGGGATGAGGAAACCTGTAGTTTAAAAACTAAAATATAGCACCGCAATGCAATGCCATGTGTGAGCCTTGCTTGGATTTTGATTTGATATCCCCAAAAAAAGTTTGTAAAGAAATTGAGCCAATAAAGGAAATTTATACTGGTTATTCTGTAGCATTAAGAGATTAGTTTTGTTTAGTTTAGGTAATGATATAATTACATGCTTTATAAAAAAATATCCTTGTCTTTTGGAAATAAATATTGAAATTGAAGTATAAGTTGAGGATTCGTTTAAAAATAATCGAGTTTTGAGAAGCACTGTCAGTGGGGAAGTGAGGGGGAATGAGATGAGAGACTGGATGAAGGTACGGGGTATGGAATTTCTTAAAATGCTGTCTCTGCTTTTGTATGGTGGGTGTTTTTCTTTAAGGATATCACCACCACCAGCAGCTGTGAGGCATTTATTTATTTATTTATTTATTTATTTATTTATCCCAGAAAGTAGGTTTGGAAGTTAACTGCTAGTGTTCCACAGACCTTCACTCATAAATTGGGTGTAAAATCTGCCTCTCTAGACTCATAGAAAGCCTTTTTCTCTCTCCTGGGTGCTGCTTTATTTGGCTCAGAAGGGACAGGGCGTTTGCTGATGTGACAGAGCCAAGCGGATCACGTTGATGCAGGTGGATGCTGGGTCAGCTTTTTTATACAAAGAGTGTTAGTGAGCCTTGGGGTGAGTTGTCCGCAAAGGGACGGGTTGGAAAAATGTGTTAGCAGTTTTCCTGAACTGCCCAAAGCCTTTCCAAGTTATGCACATCAGAAAACAGAGCTCAGAGTAGTGAACATGTCATATGCATTTAGAATTTCTGTACACTTCTGGAAGCACAGTATACATCAATTAAAAGTACATTATAAAACAAATCAAAAGGCAAGTGGATCTTAGTACCGGAAAGAGATCTTATCTGCGTGTGTTATCTTTTTCGGGTCCTTACCTTGTTTGCTTCAGGCATCATGACCGTAAATACTTTGCAAAGAACTGACTCCTAAAATATTCTGCATTATTCTTTTCCTTTGCAAGAAACATGCTTGGAAGGAGGGGGATGTGGGGAATATTCATCCAACTTTGCTTTCCCCCCTCAGGATTTATCATACAATTCCTCCTCATTCTGTTATTAGTAATTTGGAAAAGTAATTATTGTTTGAGGAAGATATTAGAGTTCAGCAGAGGGAGGAAGGGGCGACCGACATACTTCTCAAAGATAGACCTGAATTTCTTAGAACTGACTTTAATGCCTCTTTGCTTTTAAGGGAAAACAAGGCAAGTAATTGCTGTCTCTAATAGTTGAAAGTTGAAATTAGATGACCCTCCTCAGCCTAGGCCTTGCCTAGTGCAGCCTTACTAGTGTACAATGAAAGAAGCTGTGAGGATGCTTCAAGGATTCAGTTGAGGAAATGCCAAAGCATGTCCCAGTCTCCTCACAGTGTGTGGAAAAATGAAAGAACTAACAGAGGTCTCCTTGCAGTTGGAAAATATCATCGTTGAGTTCATGATGAAAGTGAAATTGGCTTGTGGTTTAGTTTTCTTTGTGTGACAGAAAGATGCAGCTGTTATATGACTTTGTTTTCTGCCTCAGTTCTGAAAAACAAGACCATGGAGAGAGAAAAGAAACTTTCCTGGCAGTGACCTGGTAACATTTACCATCCTCTGTATGAGGATGGTGGACTTGGACTCTGGAGAGTACATTGCTAATAACCATTTTAAGGAATCACCTCAATGTGGCACTATCTTCTCTCTCCATCATGTTACTTACAGGTATACACACATTGGAAAAGCAAATTACTGCTTAGTCGTTATAAGGGGAAGAAATGGGAAGAAGGGGTGTGGCAATCAAGTCAATAACTCTTCTAATACAGAAACCCTCTGCTTTCATCTACACCTCTTCGTCCCATCCTGTGAGGTGGAGCAGCAGTGCTGGAGGATTGTTTTAGTTTTTAACAGACAAGAACATTGAAATGTAAAGATGCTAAGTAAGACTTGCCAAGTCGTTTCTTTAGAGATATGGGGGAAGGAAATTTATCATTTGTTGAGAGTTCATGGTAGTCTTCACAAACACACGTTTTTAATTCTCACAAATGTCTCATGGTTGGTTATTATCAGCCTGTTTTGCAGATGGAATCGCAGCTAAGAGAGGCTAATAGTTGGCTTGAAGTCTTGCAGCTAGTGAAAGTGGAGCCCAGATTTAAATTCAAATTTGTGGGGACTTCGAGTTTTCAGCCACACTACCCTTAGCAGACAGTGGAGCTACACACCTGAGAGCTGGTTAGTTAATCTAGGCAAGATGTCTTTTTACCACATTCGACTGCCCTGGTTACAATTGTGTTCGTGGGCCACAGCTGCCTAACAGAGATGTTATATCAGGTCAGCACAGCATTAAAAAGGAAAGTGAACCAACACTGAAAATCAGGAGATTTCAAATATTCAAGAACTCCTGAAGGTCTGCCCAGTCTCCACCACTCCTTGAGGCAGGGGACAATCACATTTAAACTGTTGTTTCTCCTGGAGTAAGAGGGCTTCCTACAGGTGTGTCCATCCAAAATGGAATAACAAAAGGTAGATTGAGAGGCTCTCATCTCAAGAAAAATGGGAAAGAGCATATTCCTTTGAGGGAATGAGGCACCCTTTGTTTACTCTGCATAGCTTCCATGTCAGAAAAATACAAGGCATGTCATCGTTTTTCTCACACCCTGTTGGCTTTACTCCTCACTTCCTTTAGACTTCAGAGTTTACTTCCTCTGCAGCACAACAAAAATGGAGTACGTGTAGAGGTGAGCTGCAGTCCAGCAAAGGAATGCCTCCCAAATCCCAGACCTCGGACTTTTTGTGAGGGAAGGCGGTCTCTGGGGTGTCCTGTGGGGATGGGGCACCAAGAAGCCCTTTTCTTTCATCAAGCAGCCAGATGGCATCCAGCCTGCCATCCAGATGGCTCCTGAGCTTCTGCGTTGGCTCTCTGTAGCTGCTCCAAGGGCTCCCAGGACGTGGGAAGGTCCTCCTCTCGCTCCCTTCTCTTCCCACCCCTCTCCAGGGAATGGCAGGTCTGCATGAGCGAGTGCACTGCTTAGGCAGAGCCCTGTCTGAGAGCTCTGCAGGGAGGAGGAGCTGATGGGCCCCTAGTCAAGCCTTTGAAAAGCTTCTGTGGTGTAAGTCCAAGGGTGGCCTAATTTCCTTATCTTGAAACTTGCTGTTAAGAGTCATGGGACAGATTTTCTCATAACAGTCTGCATCTGGAATTTCCTGACAGTTGGAGCTTCTTTTTATGTATCTTTGCTTCCTTTCCCTGAGTCTGAGTGCTCAGAGCTGAGGGATGGGGCAGAGAAAGGGAAGAGGAAATACCACAGATGGAACCTCGTGGAGTGGTTGTGAAGAAATGTTATGTGCTGCTGTGAGGAACTGGTCCCTAGATCTGCCCGGCTAGGCATGCACAGTACATTGTGGGAAAGGAAGACCTTTCCTCTGCTCTTCTTTCAGCTGTTCTAATAATCCAGTCTACATGAGACAGATTATCAGGGGAAAAATAGCCACATTTAATTACATACATACATATAGAACCTTACATACACAAGCAATTCAGACAGAAAGGGGAAACGAGGCATATATGGCATCCTTATGCAAGAAGAAGGTCAGGCACTTCGGGGATTGAGAGGGGGAAGAAGGGTTATTCACTGGCAGGATGACCAGAACAGGTGTTCAGTAATTGGAAGTTCGCCCTGCCCTGTAGATGGGTTATTTCTGGTAGTAACTTTTATTATGGTCAAGGTCCCCAATTTAAAATCTTGAAGGGAGCAGTAAAAGGATCTCAATGACCTTCAGCTCAAAAGAATTCACATGCCAAAGTGGCACATCTTGGGACGGCTGGTACTGAATCCCTTACTGTACGCCAGTGTGGTAAGAAAAATAGAACAGAG